AGCATTTATTTTAGAGGAAATTGTTAAAATGTTCACATGTCAAGTAACTAATTAATAATAAATTTTATATAGCAGACATAACTTATAGGTGTAACGTTTCAAAACGGACAGGCACACACTATATTTTTGTATTAAACACAGGCTTGACAGGCTCTATTTGATGTAAATAAATGACCTTCAGCGTTTTAATAATTCATGCGAAATTAAAAAAAAAGCATTTTATTCTAATGTAAATGTATAAACGGGTCAGCGTCTGCTTGGTACCGAGTACATATAAATAAAATAAAACAAGATTGACAAGAAAATAATACACTCAACTTTTTTCATTCGATTCCTTACTGTGTTTGGAATGTTTCCCCATGACCAAGTCCGAAAATTCTCTTCGTAGTCGACTCAAAAGCTTAAGATTCACCAAGATGCACGAGCTTAAGATGCACTTAAGATGCACGAGTTTAAGATGCACCAAATCTACAACCCCTGGGCAAACTAAGAAACATTGCTTCCTGCCAATGTTTCACCATGTTTCCCAAGGTGGACAAACACTAAGAAACAATATTTCCGTAACAAAAATTGCACTTGGGAAACATGAATTGTTTCTGAATTTGATAGGAAACATTTCTGCTTCTCTGGAAGCAAATTGTGTTTCTGCAACGATGTTTTCACGGGTAGGCAAATACAGAAACACGTGAGTAAACATGGCGAATCACAATGTTTCCGCAACAATGCTTCCTAGTTTGCCCAAGGCTTACGACGCGGACGTGACATAAAAACCGTTGCTAATGTTTGGAATCCAGTTTTATTATATGCAGCTTCACTCTCTCTCCTCCGCAGAGGCTTTTAAAGAATATGAAATTCGAAAGAATTGAAATTGCGCTAGAAGGTATCTGGTATGAAGACAACCGCTGAAAATCAGTGCGCGGGCGAGGGGAAGGGAAGGAAAAAATAGCGGAAGCTTCCGCTATTTATTCCTTCCCCTCGCCCGCGCACCGATTTTCAGCGGTTGTCTTCATACCAGATACCTTCTAGCGCAATTTCAATTCCTTCGAATTTCATATTCTTTAAAAGCCTCTGCGGAGGAGAGAGAGCTTCACTTGTGTCTCTGACTTTGTTTACCAACTGGAGGCCATAATTTTATCCGTGTAGTGAAACTGTGGGAATAGTTACAGTTTTTGTCCACGACCGCGTCATAGATTTGGTGCATCTTAAGCTCGCTATTGTCTATAAACGGCACCAAGATGCAAACGGTATATAAGAATGTGTATACACCCGCTAGTAATCGGAAGCCGAGCGGGCGCAAACAGTTTCTCAAATTTCATGTATTTGGAATATTTGGTCATGAAACTTGAGAGAGCCTGAACATATTTCTTGGAGTTAAATAAAAAGGGAGATGGTTAACAATGTTTTTTTTTATGTTTTTATGGGTTTTTTTCTAAATTAATAAACATGAGTGGATTCCAGAATGACCTGGGCTCTGGATTCCGGATTCCTCAGTTATTTGGATTCCGGATTCCACTGTCTGGATTCCGGATTCCAAGACTCTGGATTCCGGATTCCTAAACCAACAAAAAGTCGGATTCCGGATTCCGGATTACCTCACAAGGGGCGAAGCTGTCAGAACTGCATTTTGTATCGAAACGTGTTGTAGGCAAATCGCGCATTACATGACCTATAGGACGAAATATTTAAAGTTTGTTGTCCGTTCGCAGCAACCAGGTATATCAATCATGTTTCGCTCGCTACTCTGGTTTAAATAAATTATTACAAAGCCCAGTCGAATTGTAATCAAGACCCAACGTGTCGATACTCCATTGTATAGTGTCTTCATCAGGGGTAATCTAAAGTTACAATTGTGGCTTCTTAAATACCCACGTCATCCCTTGACGTCATCCGTGACGTCATCGGTATATAAAACCACGCGATTGCAACTTTAGATCAGCCCTGATGGAGACACTAGACTGGAATGTCAAAACGTTGGGTCTTGATTACAATTCGACTGGGCTTTGTAATCATTTATTTAAACCAGAGTAGCGAGCGAAACATGAAGGACGAAATATGTTCTACGTGTTGCTTAACAACTGTAACAAAACTTCCACAAACTGTGCACTGGCTAACTTTTTAAAAGTTTGATAAAAGTCTGATATATGCATGCTATGTAACTGCAGGCGCTATGCATGAAGTAAATATATGCAACTGGGCCTGCAGTCCCTATGAATCATGCCAAAAAGTCATGCTTATATATAACAATTCAAAATTTGTAAAAAATCCTAAGATTACGAAAATTCAATTCTTTATGAAAAAAATTCTAAAGTTTTACCTTCAAGTATAGTGTTTCAATATAACTAAGCTACGTATACATTCACAAACAATGAATAATTTGCTGTTAAAATTCTTCCCACGGCAATATTATCCTTTAGTCTGTCTATTTTATCCCTGTGCAATAATTAAAATCCTTTTGATCTTGCACTTCAACAGAAGAACGAGCATGCAGATATAACATTTGCGTGCAAGAACGCAAAATGTCAAACGCGAACGAATGCATATGTTTCAGGTTTTCAAATTAAAAGCACGAGAAATGTCCGCTGCTGGATGGAATGTCCGAATCTATATATATTTAACACAAGGACAAGTTCAATGGGTTCTTCGACCTTACCTTTTTTGAACTGCGCATGCTTCAACAATGAGCTGGCGGATATGTTTGTTCACATGACTACAGGAACGTTTAGTTTGAAACTTCAAATTTCAAGGTTGTGCTAATTAGCAATCATGCACAAAATCGTGCAAACACGCTCCATGCAGCAGAGACCCTGGTACAGGCTGGTCACGTGACAACCCGAAATCTGGGGTATCTGTAATTAGCGCGCCGTATGCCATGCACCCAGGGAGAAAATGTAAATGCTTTCTGATCTGAACGGGTCGTGATGCGATATACTGAATAGAGGAAAGGCCAAAGATACTCCAAAAGAAAGGAACGTTTGTTTGAAACTTCAAATTTCAAAGTTGTGCTAAGCAATCATGCACAAATTCGTGCAAAAACAGAATTGGCTAACTTTGAAATTTTAATTGCATGCTAAAACGACTTGTTAGCTGATAGAAATGGTAAAATAACCTAAATTATATAGCCTCATTCTGACACGTACATGAATTTTGTAGCTGGAAATTTCGAGTGTAAATGTTATACATTTATTACACCTAACCAGGAACCGTTGCGAAAAATGCAACAAAATTGCCGTCTGGCAGACATCGAACGTGCGGCCCTGCGATTCTCCGTGGTGCAGTGCTCAAACCAACTGAGCTACAGGGGCCATGTAGTTTTCGAGCTCTGACCTCATGTTCATGTACATATAAACGAAGGTGATGCCTATAAAATTCACACTCGAGATTTCCATCTACAAAATTCATCTACAATCATTTAAACACGACCTATCTTACATGCTTGCACTAAACATGTCAAATCATATTCAACTTTAAGTTTTGGTTTTAATCTAATAACATACATGAAAAAATTTCTCAATTCTGGTAGGCTAAGAGCAGCGCTATTTTTTCGAAATACATGCAGTGCCAAAAAATGAAATACATTGCAAATTTCCTTAATTTTCTTAACTCTTTATTTTCAAATTTCTTAATTTTTAAATGTGACTTACGCACGTGACGGCATAATTTTTTCATGTACAGGGTGGCGCAAAAAATGTTAATGTTGCAAAAGTCTTTGACTTATTGTAATTAAAAAACTAAAGAGGCCATTTTATCCAAATCAGTCAATCAATCAATCAATCAATCATATATTTATTTCCCATGTGTATGTACAATAATAAGTAACAAAAACTATGTGTAGTTTGAATGTGTTGGGCTAGAGACCTGCTGGAAACCTTATCGGGCTTTTTAATGTAGGCCACTAGTTAGGTTTGTAAAAAAAAATTGCATATATATTTACAGTGAAGAGTAATTATCGAAGTAAGACCTAAAAGTATATACTATTTACAAAAGAAGGATATTATATCATAATATACAGTTACAAGATTACACAATTTTCGCTATAGAATTAACGGTTGCTGTATATCTGTGGTCATTGCATATAAGTTGAAGATGATCTTGCTTACTATAACATGTTGTTTGATTAAAGTAGTGTCTAATTTAAATTTTGATGTATATGCCTCATGAGTTATAAACGATGAGTCATACAGGGTGTATAGAAAAAAACGGAGCCTCGGAATTTCCATAAAATCGACATTGTTTTAAAGACAAAAGATTTTAGTTCCCAAGGAATTTAAAAATGGCACAACTGTCAAAATTACTGCACACGCGAGAGCATAAAGCAAAATTGATGCATTTATTTCATACTTGTAAAATAAAAACTTACTAGTTAAGTAGTCAAAGGACAACAACAGTAATATGATCTATTAGAAATTCGATGTCAATTCCAAGGAGCCTAAAATTTTTTATGCTTGGGAATTACAAAGTGGATTTCTTAGGAAATTCCGAGGTTGCGTTTTTTTTATACACGTACCCTGTACAGCTAGACCCACTGTAATTGCTATAAAGGTCACTACGAGACAGTTTATGGGGATATAGACCACCGAAACACTGAGTTCTGATTGGCTGGCTGGGTGGATGGGATGATGGTGTAAAGATTGTTTAGACCATGATAAGCCTAGTCCCAGTCGTTCTGAAGCAAACGCGAGAAAAAAAAAAGTGGACGTAGTACGAGAATGGGACCCAGGTGTGACGTCACAGCTAAAGGTGCTTCAGAACGCCTAGCAGATTTCAGTATTTTTAATATGGCGGAAAATTTGTATATACAAATAACCTTGTAATTAAGACAATGTTCGTTGATCATGTTCGATGTTTACATAACCAAGTTCAAACTGTATTAAAAATGTGCTGAATTAAAAAACAGTTTTGTCGTATAATCGTTGATGTTATTTTATATACACTTGTAAATTGTGATCAACACTAGACCATACTGGTATACACAACTACGCTTTCTACTTGACAGGTTTAAGTAGCTGAGGAGATTGGAAATATTTGCCTGACATGACTGTGTTGTCAAAACCTTTTTCGTTGGAGACCCGGCCTAATTTTCAAGCTTCTAGATAGCACCTAATGGCTTTATATTTTAGTAAACACGAGTTATATTTAGCCCGTTATTCCATTTTGACTGTACGGTAGAGAAACGTAACCTATTCATTGTTCCGAGAGCATTAGAGCAAAACTAATGACATAATTATAAACGCAAAGAAAATTTCCATAACATTTTCTATTTACAAACGCGGTATTTTCGGTAACCATTTTAACGAAATCTCCTAGGACTAGCAGCGTACAGAGAGACAGCCTAGGACTAGGATGGACCATGATCACATCCACTCAGCCAATCAGAACTCAGTATTTCAGTGGTCTATATCCCATAAACCTGTCTCGTGGCGAACTTATATAGTAATTACAGTGGGCCTATTATCCATGTAACTCATGCATTAGTTTGCTATATGATAGACAAGGTGTATAAAAAAACGCAGCCTCGGAATTTCCTAAGAAATCCACTTTGCAATTCTTAAGCATCAAAGATTTTAGGCCCCTGATAACTGAAATCGAATTGCTAATAGATCATATTACTGTTGTTTTACTGTACTTGTAAAATAGAAACTTATTAAGTGTCATTAAATAAATGCATAAATTTTGCTTTATGCATTCGCGTATGTAGTAATTTTGACAGTTGTGCTATTTCAAAATCCCAGGCACCTACAGCCACAAGCTGGACCATCAATATATAAATGTTCCAAATAAATTTTTCAAAATCACCAAAAATTTCGCAAAAATAAAATTACCATTTTTATTACCAAACATTTTCAATTACCAAAATCTACCAAGAACTGACGAAAATACCTGGTCACATTGCTCTCATGTTGTTGTCCGCAAGAATTATGGGAACAGTTTGTGATTGGTAGAATTACGATATCAGTCAGATCTGTATCAAATTGCGCTATTTATTTGATGCGCAAGCATGGTTGTTTATAACAGATACTGTAGCACGCCAAAAAATATAGAAATAATTAAATATTGATTTCTTTATCGGGTGACGGTAAGCCAGCTAGAGCTATAGCTTTAACTAGAAAGCCGTTTGATCAATGGCATAGGAAAAGTCGAATTGTTTTTGTGTTCAATAATTAATTAAATTTCTTTAACTGAGTACTATGAATAAACTATCGAACATGTTACTTTATAGCGGTAATCTACGCAGACTACCCACCAATTAAAGGCGTCCGCGGCACATGTTAGAAGTGTAAAATGTACAAGAGACTTTATTGCGCTGTATTTTATTATGAAAATTAATTGAAAGTCGTTACAAGCACATCAGAATTACGTATTAATTAATTAATAGAAAAAGAGTGTTGAGTAATTACGCATCAAAGTTTGTCAAATAAGAAAAACATCAGTAATTTGTCTTCATCAACCTTGTTTACAAGCGAGGAATTCCCATCGTCTATCCCTAAGAAAATATAACGAAAGCTGATAAGAGACATGACGTCAATATAAGTTATTTCAACTGAATCGCGTAAACAGCATAACATGTAATAACATATAATAACTATCAGTTGAGATAGCATAACATATAATAACTAACAGTTGACAAATTATCTTAACTTGAAGATAATGCAACGGCAAATCCGAAACTGATATCTCGCTGTCAGCAAAGCCAAAACACCCTGCGTGTTGTGACCTTCATTTCTCATCGAATTTTCAAACATATTTAATTAACAATTTTGACCGCCGACGGATCGGCCGCGATTTATGCCGCCTAAACTTTTCTGTTTACCTTTTTTTAATACTTTTTCAGTTATCCTGTTGATCAGTAGACAAAAAGACAAACAAACAATCACACAAACAAACGTAGTTGAATATTTGTTGGACTTACTCATTTCCATTGTCATGAAAACTTTGTGCCCCAGTGAGAAAAGAGCCACTGGGTACGACGTAGTTCAGATAACCATCGAAGTTATTCACATAGCCAGACCAAACACAATCACGTGCGCAATTACTCTGGGTGTTACAACATCTAAAGCTGAATCTTCTGTCTTCAGCTTCGTTGCTGTGAGTAGAGTGCACACCTAATTTATTGGAAATAATAAATTCAAATTATTTTACTGAGAACATACAATAAATTGTAGATATGTTGTGGGATTTGATCCAACTAAATCACTCTTCTACTTTTCCAGTTGTTACTGTTGTTGGTATATAGTGGTTAGTTTTACCGTTGTTAGTGTTGATTTTTCTATTGCTGTTAATGCTGCTTTTGCTGCTAATGTTGCTCTTACTGTTGTGGTTATAATCGCGATCGATGTTACTGTTTCTGTCGCTATTGCATATTGTGGCGCTGTTTATGTCACTGTTGC